AACATCGGCCCCCATGCATGGGCGTGTATGTCACGCGGTACGCGTCTGCGAGTGCAGCCGCCTATGTTGGCCAAGATAGGCGGCTGCACGTGTGGGCGCGAGTACCGCTATACGCGTCTGCACGTGTGGCCGCGTATCTTGGCTAAGATACGCGCCGGCACAGAATGACACGTATCAGGCCCCGCCGAGCTCGATGAACGCCAGCGGGTGAGGGCGGCTATTCTCCCCCGAGGCAGGCGAGGATACGCAGTCCCTCGTATCGCGCGTGTAAGTCCCGGTTGCCGTGCGCGCCCGCGCGTGTGGCCGCGTACCTTAGCTAAGATACGCGCGCACGGGCGTGGGTGGGTAAAAACGGGTCACTTTGCGGGGTTTGCCACATGATCGGCGGTCCCACAGCCCCAGACCGATGGCGATCACCGATGGCGATCACGTGCCTGCTTCTGCTGGCCAAGCTCACGGCTGTCGCTCGAGCCATCGCTGGCTACGCCCCTGGCTCGGATGATGGTGCGGTCGTCTCTAGCCGCCAGAAGGGAGGCGGCGGCCAGCAGGCGACAGAGGCGGCGCTCTCGTGCCACGCTGAGTGCCCGGCGCTCGGCGAGACTGTCCTGCTCGATGACAATCGGCATATGAGCAACTCGAACACGGCGTGCAATTGCGACTACTTTGGCTGCTCACCGATTGAGCGCGCGCCTGACCTCGACAGCGCCGGCTGGTACCGCTTCGGCGGCGACGATGGCGCGACGCAGATGGCGACGTGCTTTGTGCAGGGTGGTAGCACGGGCGGTGCCAGCTGCGGCACCACCGGCTGCACCGGCTTCCTCGCCACCCCGCACCCGGCGGCAGGCGACGCGCCGGCAGCCGCACAAGTGTGCTTCAACTGTGGCGACTCGTCAGGGTGCGACTTCTTCGTCGATGCCAACGTGTGCGCGTGCGATTACGGCAACGGCGGCGGCACGACGTACACCTATCAGCTCACGAAGCCGGCGGGCGGCTCTGGCAAGCGCCGCTACTGCGGCTCCGGCGGCGAGGTCTGCCCTCCGCCGCCGTCGCCGCCGCCTGTCTTGCCCGAGGCGCCTTCGCCAGCGCCGCCAGCGCTGCCGCCACAAGAGCCTCCCATGCCACCATCGCCTTCCCTGCCGTCACCACTGCCGCCACCGCCTTCGCCGCCACCGCCTTCGCCGCCACCGCCATCGCTTTCACCACCACCACATGGATCAGTACCATCGTGCCCTGCGACCTGCTTCGGCCAGACCTGCGACGACTGGGTAAGCGCTTCTCCCACGCCGTGCGCGCCCGCCGGCGCAGAGCTGCTCAGCGCCTCTCCCACGCCGTACGCGCCCGCCGGCGCAGAGCCACCACAACACGGTCCACTTACATGCGTACCGCGCGCCCGTCCTCGCAGATTTCCGCTGAACCGACCAAGATCTGCGCCGAGCTCGAGGAGTTCGGCTGCGACTGCTTCGGATGCACGTTGTGCGGTGGTGGTGGCGTTGATGCGCCGCCCCCGAGCATCCCATCTCCGTCTCTGCCAACCACCGGCATCACGTATCCTCCGCCTCCACCGACCACCGGCGTGCTCCCCAAGATCCTCTGCCTCCACGGCGGCGGTGGCGATGGCGCTGACTTTGCGGGCGAGATTACGGCCATGCGTAACACACTGAGCAACGAATTCGAGTTCGTCTTTCCGACGGCGCCCGACCCGCCGGGCGAGGGCGGCCTCTGGATGATGGACCCACCGGGCAAGGACAACCCGACCACCGACCCCGACTGGGCGCAGGCCGCCGTCGCCCACCTCAACCAGATCGTCGCCACGCAGGGCCCCTTCCACGGCATCATGGGCTACTCACAGGGCGCCGCCTTCCTACCCGTCTACCTGGCTCTGACCCCGGTCAACACCTTCCATCTCGCCGCGATGTTCTGCGGCTA